TTTCAGAGAATTTTCAAGTTTCCTTTTTTATCCATTGGTTACTTATTGTTTAATTTCCAAATATTTGTAAATTTTCTAAAATTCCTTCTGTTAATAATTTCTAATTTAATCACATTATCGTTGAAGAACATACTTTGTATTATTTTGATATTTTAAACTGTGTTGAGACTTGTTTTGTGGTCTAACATATTGTTTATCCCAGACAATGTTTTATGTGTACTTGAGAAGAATGGATTCTACTAATGTTGGGTGGAGTGTTCTAAAGATGCCTCTTAGCTCTACTTGATTTAGAATGTTCTTCAAGTTTTCTATTTTCTTTCTGATCTTCTGTTTAGTCTATTTCCCCATTAATAAAAATGAGGTATTAAAGTGTCCAACTATTGTAAAACTATTTCTCCCTTCAATTTTTTTTTTTTTTTTTTTGCTATATGTCTTACTTACATGGTTGTGTTCCCCAATTCCTCCATTACTGCCTTCATTTGTATTTTCAAGTGTATCATCTCAATTCTCTTGTTTCTTTTGCTATATATGTTTGAATTATTAGGCTAGCTGAAAAGTTTGGTTTTTTTCCTCTGAGATGGCTCTTGTAGCACTTAGTTGTATTTAACTTCATTACGGTTTTGTTAGATTGTATTGTGACAGCTGTCATATGAGCATGTGTTTTTAAAAAACAAAAATTGGTGAGTTTCTGTGCAGCCATTTTAATGTTGAAGATGGAAGAAAATAAGTAATATTTTTGGCATATTATGCTTTATTATTTCAAGAAAGATAACAACACAACTGAAATGCAAAAAAAATTTTGCAGTTTATGGAGAAGGTGCTGTGACTGTTCAAATGTGTCAAAAGTGGTTTGTGAAGTTTTGTGCTGGAAGATTTCTTGCTGGACAATGCTACACAGTTGGGTAGACCGGTGGAAGTTGATAGCAATCAAATGAAGACATTAATTGAGAACAGTCAACGTTACACCATACAGGAGAGAGCCGACACACTCAAAATATCCAGATCAAGAACTGAAAATAATTCACACCAGCTTGGTTATGTTAATTGCTTTGGTGTTTGGGTTCCACATAAGTTAAGTGAAAAAACCTTCTTGACTGTATTTCCTCATGAGATTCTCTACTTAAACATAACAAAGACATTCCATTTTTAAAACAGATGATGAAAAGTGGATACTTTACAATGATGTGGAATGGAAGAAATCATGGGGCAAGTGAAGTGCTCCCCCACCAACCACACCAAAGACCAGTCTTCATCCAAAGAAGGTGACGTTGTGTATATGGTGGAACTGGAAGAGAGTCCTCTATTATGAAGAGCCCTTTTGGGGAAAACCAAATGATTAATTCCAAAAAGTACTGCTCCCGATCAGACCAACTGAGAGCAGCATTCGACAAAAAGCATCCGGAATTAGTCAATAGAAAACACATAATCTTCCATCAGGATAGCGCAAGACTGCATGTTTCTTTAATAACCACACAAAAACTGTCGCATCTTGGCTGGCAAGTTCTGGTTCATCTGCCATATTCATCACACATTGTACCTTCATGTTTCTGTTTATTTCAGTATTTACAAAATTCTCTTAATGGAAAAAATTTCAATTCCCTGGAAGACTGTAAAAGGTACCTGGAACAATTCTTTGCTCAAAAAAACATAAAAAGTTTTGGGAAGATGGAATTACAAAGTTGCGTGAATGGTGGCAGAAAGTAGTGGAACATAACAGTGAATAGCTGGTCAGTAGTTACTGGTGAAAATGAAAAAATGTGTCCTTTTGCACATAAGAACCAAACAAACTTTTTGGCTACCTCAATATTTCCCTAGTGGTTGCACTGGATATTACGAATAATATCTTAATTTGAAAAAATCTATTTTGTATTAATAGCACCTTAAACTCAATTGTATATAAAAACTTTCCTACATACCTCTCTTGCCCCTATTTCCTGGTGTTGCCACAAATTATATGTTTATAAATTGTGTTCTAATCAATATAGGCTTATAATGAAAGCTTTCTGCATGTGTCTTTTAAATAAGATTGGGGAAAAAATGGATTTATAAACAAAAAATACATTGATTTTTTTATATTTACCTATATATTTACCTTTACTGGTATTCTTTATTACTTTATGTGGATTTGAGTTACTGTCCTTTTATTTCAGCCTGAAGTACTCTCTTTATCATTTCTTCTAGGGAAAGTGTGCTAACAATGAACACTCTCAGCTTTTGTTTATCTGAGAATGCCTTAGATTCTCCATTTTTAAAAGGATTGTTTTGCCAGAGAGAACTTTAGTTGACAGTTTTTTCTTTGACCTCTGAATATGTCATTTCACTATCTCCTGGATTCCATGGTTGTACTTGGGAAATTAGCTGTTAATCTTATTGAGGTTTTTGTGTGTGTGTGTGTGATGAGTTACTTTTTCTTGCTGCTTTTAAAATTCTCTTGGTCTTTCAACAGTTTGGTTATAATGTATTTTGGTGTGAATCTCTTTGAGTTTTATTTGGAGTCTGATGAGCTTTTTGGATAGGTAGATCAATGTGTTTGAGCAAATTTGTGAATTTTTAGTCATTTTTACTTCAAATATTCTTTCAGTTCCTTTATCTTTTCTCCTTCTGGGACTTTTATTATGTATATGTTGGTGCATTTGATGTTGTCCCACAGTTTCTCTTAGAGTCTGTTTTTTTTCCTTCATTATTTTTTCTTTCTATTTCTCAGACTGGATAATCTTAATTGACGTTTCTTCAAATTTGCTAATTTTTTTCTTCTGCCTCCTTAAATATGCTGCTGAATTACCTAGTGTATTCTTTTTATTTCATTTGGACTTTTAGCTCCAGAAATTCTATTTAATCCTTTTTATAATTTCTGTTTTTATTCTCAAATTGATGAGATATCATTTTCATTTGTTTTAGTTCTTTAGCCATGAGTTCCATTAGTTCTTTAAACAAATTTAAAATAGCTGATTTGAAGACTTTTTCTAATAAGTATAATGTTCAGATTTCTTTAAGGAGTTTCTTCTAAAACTATTGAAACTGATTTTTTTTTCAGTATATGGGCCATATTTTCTTGCCATTTTTGCCTGCCTCATAATTTTTTATTGAATGGACATTTGAACGTTATAATGTGGCAAATGTGAAAATAAGATTTTCCTTTTCCCCCAGGGTTGTTGCTGCTATAGTAGCTATTGTGCCCTGGTTTAGTCATTTTGATTTTGTGAAGTCTATATTCTTTGTTTTTTGTGGCTACTGAAATCTCCCTTCCATTAGCTTAGTGATTAGCTAATGTTTGAACAGAGATTTTCTTAAACAGCTGTAACCAAAAAAGCTCCAAGTCTTTGCTGATGAGTTCTCTGTGTTTGTTGGGGCACATCTTTAACACTCAGGCAGCTTTTAACTGCCTAAATCTTCACTTTCTCCTTCGACAGAGCCTGAATGTCAACTAGAGGGCGGGGTTTAAGTTCTTTTCAGGTCTCTTCTGAACACGTGCACAGCCCTGGACATGCACATGGCCTTCTGGATCCTCTAAAACATATTGGAGCTTTGCACAGCCCTCATTCCTCAAAGTACCTCAATTTCTAGGCTTGCCTCCAAAGCTTCTTAGTTTCATGTTTTCCCCAATTCTTGTCCACTACATCAGGCAGCAGTGACTAAAACATTTCCCTGTAGGTATTTTAAACATTATACCATTTTAGCACTGATCAAGTTCCAAGCTAGGCAAGCCAAAGGCAAACCTTTTGAACCAGTCCTCCAGGGAACCACCAGACAGTCCTTCTGCTTCCTCTGGTACCTGTACCAGGAATGCAGGCTGCTGTATTCAAGGTTATCACTGAGCTAGGGAACAGAGATTGGAAAAGTGTAATTTAAAAAGCCACAAAACTTACTGCTCTTACCAAGATTCAACTGTTTTCTGACTTAAGTATTCCCCTGATTGCAAACTTTGGTTTGGTATCTGGAGTTCTGGAAATGTTGATACTGGCAGTTTGAGCCAGTTTATTCATTGCTTTTCTGGAAGGACAGACTTTTGGACTCCTTACTCTGCCATTTACACTGTGAAAAATTTTAATGTCAAAATTATGATACACTCAGAGCTGAAACTGAGGTCAGGTCAGGCTTTACCATACAAGTCTGAGTGAATTAAAGTTTTTTTTCCCCCTGAATTTCAACTTTATTATAAAGCTAGGGGGATAATGTTATCTATCTCACAGAGTTTTCATTAGCATCAACTGATGATAATGTGTGTATAAAGCACTTTGTAAATTGTCCAATGCTATAGGAATGCCAATTATTTTAATGTTTTAATTGTAAATTAGAACTAAGGTAGAATTTAAAAGTTATAAGTACCATAAAAGCAACACTTAAAGATGAAGAAACAGTATTTCTTCAGTTCTATTGTACTCTACCATGCTTTTAATTAACTTTTATTTGAATAGACAGCTCATCACTAGGTTACAAAATTCAAAAAGAAAGAAAGACTATAGGATAAAAATTGGCCACCTTGACTTCACCTCCCAGGGACAAATAATGTTACCAATGGACAGGTTGTGTGTGCTCATGAACTTGCAGGTGTATATACTTCCAGAGAAGCACTGCACATACAAGCAAATATAAGTCAGTATTCTTCCCCCTTTTTACATGAATGATAACACACATGAAACACTGTCCTCATCTTGTGTTACTGACTTAAGAAATCATGGTGATTATTTCACATAGATCCACAAAGCGTTCTTCTCTGGTTCTTCTCCATGGACACGTCATAATTTATTCAGGCCATCCCAGATTATTGAACACTTAAATTGTATCCAGAATTTTGCTATTAAGATTTTTGCAAGTGAAGAAACTTGTATGTTATTTCTCAAAAAAGATATATTTGTATCATAAATGTATAGATATGCATTTTATAATTTAGTAAATATTCCAAAATGTTTTCCATAAGATTGTACCATTTTATACTTCCAACAACAGCATATGCTTGTTTTTCTAACATTAATCTTAAAAACTAAATGTGTTTTATTTAGGTTACCAGCCCTAAAACTTCAAAGGTACTACAAAAATCACCCTCTTTAAGAAGAATGGTAAGAAAACAGAGAATTTTATTTCCTCCCTAATTATTAACCTCCTACATAGTAGGCAGGGGATACAATGAGCCAGGGGCACTCTGTCCCATCCCAAATCTATATCCCTTCCCTACATTTCTTGCCATGCTCTCTTGGTTCTTGCAGAGAACAGTAAAAGAGCCCTATTAGACCTGATCCTACTTTAAAACATTTTGTATTAGTTTTCTTGTGCTGCCATAACAAAGCAGCACAAACTGGGTGGCTTGAAACAATAGAAATTTACTCTCCCATAGTTCTGGAGGCTCAAAGTCCAGAATCAAGGTATTGGTTTGTTTCTTAGGGCTTTGAAAGAAGGACCTCATTTGATGTCATTTCTAGATTTTTGTAATGCCAACAATTCTTGACACTCTGTAGCTTGCCAGTGCAGTCCAATCGCTGCCTCCATCTTTCTATGGCATTCACCCTGTGGATGTGTCTCTGTCTTCTCTCCTCTTATAAGGACGCCAGTCATATTGGATTAAGGGCCTACTCTACTCCAATATGAGATCATCTTAACTAATTATATCTGCAATGACCCTATTTCCATATAAGGTCATATTCTCAGGGCTTGGGAGTTAGGACTTCCACATATATGTGTGGGGGACACAATGCAAGATATAACATACTCATTCTAGGGTAGATACTGAGTCAGCTCCCATAATCCTACATCAACAATACCATCCTTTGAGAATACAGAGATTTAAAATGATTAGCTGAGGAGTAGCCAGACCCTCAAACAAATAAAAATTTATTTCTGTTCATCTCTAGAGAATTAAACTTTAAAACACTCAAAATTTTGAAGCAAGCAAATTTTACAGTCAATCCTGACAAAACAGAAATTTCTGTTAATTAGAGAGCAACAGTTTTTGAGTATTTCATTTAGATGAGAGCTTGAAAGTGCCCAAGCCAATCATAACATGTGAAAGCAGAGACATTCTCTTCCCCAGGAACAGGCCATGCTCTGCTCTCCACGGTGCTATCAGTGCGCTTTGAGGGAACAAGTTCCAAGTGCCCATCTGGAATTAACTTTGGGCTGACTGAAGAAAAGGGATATTTAAAAAGTCGTTTTCTAAAGATCTTTGAATGGTTCAGAAGATTAATCTTAAAATATATGGAAATAAAGATTTCTGCTTACAGTAGGATGATTTAAAGCATCATTCAAGGAAATGTAGTAGTAGTAACATTAGATTTCTATTCATTAAATAGCCCAGTTCTACTTCTCACAATTTTTAAGGCAGTGTATAAGACCTAAGCATGTAGTGACAGTAAAATCCTAGGTTAAGTTTTGTCAAATCTCCTGTTAAAAAGAAAGAAGTGTTTCATTCTGGTTAAATACTAGTCATGTTTCCATGTTTTCCTCATTCAGAGTGCCACTGATTTTTATGTCTTAAGTACAGTCATTGAACTGATGTCCATCCTAGTTTGACAGAATGTGCTGAATTTTTCCTCATTGGCAGTCTGACGTGCCGGAAGGAGTCATAAGAGTCCATGCTCCACTTCTGTCGAAGGTGTCCATGGCCATTCAACTCAATAGTCAAACCACAGCCAAAGACATACTGGCAAAATTTCAATATGAGAACAGGTGAGTAAGACAAAATGTCTCTGTACAAAGACGATAGACTTTTATCAGATGAGTAATTTTCCAGGAATTTACAAATTTGGCCTCTTTGAAAAATTCGAACCTATTACTTTGGAAGCTTTACCAACAGATGAGGAGTCAAATGTACAGCAAGAAGTTAGTAAACTAAAGAATGGTCAATAACATGAGTTTTGTATTTTTAAAGGAATTTTTATAAGTGGGATTCTTTATTTTCTTCTTTTAATTGAAGTATAATTAGCATATAACATTTGTTTCTGATATGCAACAGAATAACTTGATTTTTAAAAAATATTGTTTATTCTATTACAGTTGTCCCAATTTTCCCCCTTGCCCTCCTTCACCCAGCCCACCCCCTACTTCCATAGTCAAATCCCCACTCTGTTGTCCATGTCCATGGGTCCTTCATACATGTTCTTTGACTAATCCCTTCACCTTCCTTCACTCAGTCCCTGCCTCCCCCATCCCCTTTTACAGCTGTCAGTCTGTTCCATGATTCTATGTTTCTGGTTCTATTTTGCTCACTAGCTTATTTTGTTCATTAGATTCCTATTATAAGTGAGGTCATATAGTATTTGTCTTTCACTGCCTGCTTATTTCACTTACCGTAATAGTCTCCAGTTCCATCCATGCTGTCACAAAAGGCAGGAATTCCTTCTTTCTTTCTGCTGCATAATATTCCATTGTGTAGATACACCACAGTTTTTTTATCCACCCATCTACTGATAGGCACTTCAGCTGTTTCCAAATCATGGCTATTGTAAATAGTGTTGCTATGAACACGGAGGTACATAAATTCTTTTGAATTGGTATTAATAACTTGATATTTGTATACATTGCAAAATGATCACTGCAGTAAATCTAGTTAACATTTGGCCCCGCATATAGTTACAGCATTTTTCTCTTGTGATGAGAACTTTTAAGATCTACTCATTTATCAACTTTTAAATATGCAATATAGTATTCATAACTGTAATCATCATGCTGTATATTACATCACCATGACTTACTTATTTTATAACTGGAAGTTTGTACCTTTAGGAGGACCGCCTGCATCCATTTCCCCTACACCTCCTTAAATTGGCTACTATCAATCTTTTCTCTGTATCTGTGAGATTAGTTTTTGTGTTCTTTTGTTTTCATTTTTTAAATTCCACATAAAAGTGAGATCATGTGGTATTTGTCTTTATCTACATGGCTTATTTCACTTAGTATAACACCTTCAAGCTCCATCCATGTTATTGCAAATGGCAAGATATCATTTTTGATTGTTGAATAATATTCCATTATATATTTCATATTTTCTTTATCCACTTATCCATCAGTGAACACTTAGGTTGTTTCCATATGTTGGTTAATGTAAATAATGCTGCAATGAACATGGGAATACATATATCTTTTCAAGTTAGTGATTTTTTTTTCCTTTGGATAAATACTCAGAAGTGGAATTGCTGGATCATATGGTAGTTCTATTTTTAATTTTTGGAGGTGCCCCCATACCGCTTTCTTTAGTGACTGAGCCAATTTACATTCCCATCAGCAGTGCACAAAGGGTTTTTTTTTCTTCACAACATCGACAACACTTTTTTTTTCTTTTTGATAATAGCAGTTCTAACAGGTCTGAGGTTATATCTCATTGGAGTTTTAATTTGCATTTCTCCAATAACTAGTAACATTAAGCATATTTTCATGTACCTGTTAGCTATTTGATTATCTTTTTTGGAAAAATTTTCAGATCTTCTGCTCATTTTTTAATTAAATTGCTTTTTTGCTATTGAGTTATATGAGTTCTTTATGTATTTTGGATATTAACCTGTTATTAGATATATGATTTGCAAATATTATGTCGCATTCCATGGGCTGCCTTTTTTTTGATGGTTTCCTTTGCTATGCAGAATCTTTTTAGTTTGACAGAGCCCCACTTGTTTATTTTTGTATCTATTGCTTTTGATTTTGGTGTCAGAGTCAAAAAAATCATTGCCAATACCAATGTCAGCATTTTCTTCTATGAGTTTTATGGTTTTAGGTCTTACATTCAAGCCTTAATCTACTTTGAGTTGATTTTTGTATAAGATTTCTAATGGGATTCTTAATAGGAAACCTTTTCTGTCTTGATGTTTTCATTTACTCAATGAGTTTTACTTTTTATTAGAATAAAATTATAGCAGGTTAGTTTTGTAGATCTCTTGATAGCTTTACAGGAGTATCATAATTTCAGGCTCCAGTGGGCTTTAACATGCCAATATCAGATAGAGTTTATGTAGTTAAGTGAACATCACCTGTTGCTTTCCTTAAAATATACTATCAATAAACTTTGGGATTAGGATGATATTTACAAAAAATATTTTGCATATCGGCCATTAAAGAGGATAAATAATCATTTTTGGTTTGGCATGCTTATTCAAGGATAAACATTTTCCCTCAGATTTCTAAAAGATGAGAAGCACTCATTTAAACCTGTTCACTAGAGAGCAGTACAGTTTGATGGTCTCTAGTTAAACTCTGATATCCTTAAAAAGGAGCTTTCAAATCATATGAAAAAGGAGCATCTGTGTTGAGCAAAAAAAAAAAAGCCAGTTGCAAAAAAAATTATATACTGCAAGACTCCATTTATATAATATTTTTGAAATTTAAAAATTTTAGAAACGGAAGATAGATCAATGGATTCCAGAGGTTGGGGAGATGTCATTTTGAGGAAAGGGTGGAGATGGGTGTGGTTAAAAAGAGCAACACAAAATACCTTTGTGGTATTGGGACTGGCACCTTGACTGTGGGGGTCAACAAAGGAACCTCTAGATAATTATACTGAACTTAATACACACACAACAGAGTACAATTAAAATGATGAATCTGAATAAGATGAGAAGATTGTATTAATGTCAATATCCTGATTGTGATATTATACCATAGTTTTATAAAATCTTATCACTGGGGAGAACTGGGCAAAGAATAATCTGTCTGTATTATTTCTTACAAATACATGTAAATCTACAATTATCTCAATAAAATTTTCAATTAAAAGAAAAACAGGACTAGCCTATAAAAGTAATCTATACTGTTAGAAATCAGAATGGTGATTTTCTGTGAGGGTGAAATGTTAGTGACTCAGAAGACATATGACAGACACTTCTACAAAGTCCCTTTTTCAGAAATGGGGGCTGGTTACATGGTATGTGCACTTTTTGTATGTTTTCTACTTTAAACACACACACGTGTGTGTGTGTGTGTGTGTATGTGTGTGTGAAGCTTACATAAAAAAAAGAAGAGTAGACAAAAGCCTCAGGAATGCCAAACATTTACTCTTCTCTGCCACTGGCCCTGGTACCTAAAACACTGTGAATAGTTATCACTAGGCAGTAAGTAGTAGAGGGACTTGACATTCCATTCGAGGCATGTGGGCATCCATCAGATTTTTACTTATATGTGTTACAAAGTCATCTCATATGCTCTTGTACAACATTTGTAGAAAGAAAACTTTGGACATCCATGAGCCCCCCCCAAAAAAATGACCCTTGATCTAAACCTCACATCTTATACAAAAATTAACCCAAAATGGATTACAGAGTTAAATGGAAAACATAAAACTTTTAGAAAATTACTTACGACAAAACCTTTGTGATACAAAGCTAGTGAAGAATTTTTAGACTTAACATTGAAACCAAGATTCATAAGATATAAAAATTTATAAGTTGGACTTCATCAAAATTTAAATGTACACTGAAAGATCCCATAAAAAGAATGAAAAGCTAAAGAATTGAAGAAAATATTTACAAACCACGTATCCAATAAAGGTCTATTTTCTAGAATACATAAAGAACATTCAAAACTCAATAGTTAAAAAACACACGCACAAAACAATCTAGTGGTGTGGCTCAGTTTCCAGTTTGGGTGGGCATCATCCAGCAAAGAGAAAGGTCACTGGTTTTATTCCAGGTCAGAGCACATGCCTGGGTTGCAGGTTTGGTCCCTGGATGGGGCACGTATGAGAGGCAGTCGATCAGTGTTTTTCTCCCTCTTTCTCCCTCTCTTTCCTTCTCTCTAAAAATAAATTAAAAAATACAATATATTTTCTAAACAATCTACTCTGAAAATGGGCAAAAGACACAAACATTTCACCAAAGAGGATATACAGATGGCAAATATACACGTGAAAAAATGTTTAGTATCTTTCATCATTAGAAACCCATGAGAATGGCTAAAATAAAAAATAGTGTCAACACTAAATAATGGCAAGGACACAGAGAAACTTGATCACTCATACATTGCTGATGGGAATGTAAAATTGTACAGTCACTCTGTAAAACAGTTTAATAGTTTCTTGTAAAACTAAATATGCAATTACCATGTGAAACTAGCATTCACACTCTTGGGCATTTATCCCAAGGAAATTAAGACTGTTCCCACAAAATGCTGTGCACAAATGCTTATAGCAGCTCTATTTATAATAATCAAAAGCTGGGGAAAAAAACCCAGATATTCTTTAACAGGTAAATGGCTGAAGAAATTATGGTACATCCTTACCATGGTTTGCTGCTCAACAATAAAAATTCAACAACTTGGGTGAACCTCCAGGGATTTATGCCGATTGAAAAAAGCCAATTCAAAAGAGTTCTCTACTGTACATTTCCATTTACATAACATTTTGAAATGACAAATTTATAGACACGTAAAATAGAGGGATAAAGAATGGAGGTACAGATAGGGATGGGAAGAGGAGGGTGGATGTAGCTATAAAAGGGAAGTGAGGTTCATTGCAGTGATGGGCATGTTCTGTATCTTAACTGAATCATTATTAGCATTCTCATTGTGATACTGTGCTAGTCTTTCAAGATTTTACTATTAGAGGAAACTGGGTAAAGGGAACACAGGATCTGTTTGTATTATTTCTTACAAATATATGCAAATTTATAATTATTTCAGTAAGTTTTTAAATAAAGGAGATGTACATATTCTTCCTCAAAATAGAGAATGAGAAGAATCTTTTTGAAAAAAAACTAAGCTGAAACTCATTCCTGAGTGAGATAGAGATCAGAAAGGGTTTTTCCAGACTCTTCCACCTCAGCATTCTAGTCTGGCATAGAAAAATTAAATTGGGTAGTCATTTTCTCTGACTTTTATTATAGAGCAAAGACATGCAATGAAATCAATATAAGACAATTAGCAAAGTATTAATTAGTCAAGCTTAGAAATGTGACTTGGGCTGAGGAGAGAATCCCATTCAATTTTTGGCAAATATGGAAATGAAACCTGACTTCTTTTGAACTGAGAGTACTGTGACCAATGACAAGGCAATATTGCACATCCAGCTGCTCCTTGGCCAGCTTTATATGTCAGTAATAGTTACCTCTCAAATGGGACTGACAGGTGTGGATAAAACGGGCTCCGGGTTGCTGTAGAGCCTTGCAGCATCCATCTTGGTTTGAAAAAGTCCTGTCTTCTCTGTGCCTCAGATGCTTATTTGTGTGAAACAAATACAAAAAAATTGTTTTTATCATAACTTCAGTCATAATAATTTGTGGGATGTATTTCACTCAAGGCAGAATGAATTGTTTATTGCCATGGTTATTTAATCTAAAGATTTACCTCAGGTTATGAAAGGCTTAAAATTATATTGCTTTCTCCTTTTTTCAGTCATGGTTCTTCAGGATGCATTAAAATTCAGAACCAAAGGTTATATGAAATTGGAGGAAATATAGGTAAGGATCCTTTAACAATTTTTATTCCTAAATTCTCTGATTACTCTAAAAGAAATATGATGCTATTATTATAAAAATGTATTTTACAAGTTTCTTATATATAAATTCAGAATCAGTAAGGTTCTGATTTTTTTTAATCTCATATAAGAACAGTATGACTTTCCTAAGATAATTTAAAGATTTAAATGTGAATATTTTAGTTGATATGGAGTAGATTTTGGGTCTTCTAACTGTGGCTCAAAGTTGGAAACTCTCTTCCTGGAGAAGAATGAAAAACAGAGAAAAGAACATCATGGAACTTTCAAAATCATGACACCCTTTTTGTTTAACTTCCCTGTTTTCACTTGCAGCCCAAGCTTATTCTTCCTGGAGGGGGAAAAAGAAATCCAAAGAAAATTCCTTCTTGTTTATTCTGTGTCCATATCTTCTGCTTGCCTTCCTCACAATCCAGAGGAAATATCTGTACTCCTATTTAAGACTAGTGCCTCCATTCATGTCTCACTTCCTGTGCCCTCTGCCCAGTTAAGACATTGATCCAATTATTCCCTCCTTCTTTCTTATAGAATCAGCTTTTCTCTCCAACTACATCATTTGTGTCTGCAGAAAATTCTGGTAATGTCTCTCATCTTTAAAAAATTCTCTCTTGACTCCTTCACGTCAACTCCCATTTTTGTTCGGCTGTACAGCATAAACTCCTGGAACCAGTTGTCTATATTCCAATTTCTTCTTCTTCTTCTCTCTAGAAACCACTCCAGTCAAGCTTTATCTTTCAACACTTCATCAAAATTGCTCTCTTGTCTAGGTCACTAGAGAACTCTTATGTTGTAAAATCCAACAATTCAGTCTGTCTTTGTAACTACCTGAGTTGATCTTTTCCTGCTTTGAAAAACACTTTCTTCACCTGGCCTCAAGGACTACCTGAGCTTCTGGCTTTCCTCCCACTACACTGGCTACTCCTTATGATCTCTTTTGCCAGTTACTTCTCATTTCTCAGCCTCTTAAGATTGGAGTGCTCTAGGGCTCAGTCCTTGCAACTCTTCTTTAACTACACTTAACTTCCTTAGGGAGCTCAATTCATCTCATTGCTTTGGATGTATGTGTATGCTGATGCCTCTCACATTTATATCCAGACTTTCCCTTAAACACCAACCTTTTGTATTAGGTCACTGAGCACATTCTGCCTTGGACCTTTGCGTTGCTAACCTTTGCCCAGAACACTCTCTTACAGAGTGTTCATTTCTCACTCCCTTACCTCATTCAGGTCTTACAGAATATTACCTTCTCAGTGAGGCTTTCCTGGAGTATATACTCTCTATGTTCCTTCCATGCTTTGTTGTTCTCTAATGTTCTTATATTATCAGGCTTGCTTTATATTGTACTTGCTTATTTGATAACTGCCTTTACCACTTTTAGAATGTAAGCATGCAGAGGGCAAGTAATTTTAACTGTCTGATGCATTGCTGTAGTGCTAGCCCCTAGACTAGTTCCTGGAACATAATAACTCTCAATAAATATTCAATAAACGAATGAATCAAGCAAGCAGTTAGATCTTGGTGGTTTTGTTTGAGACTTTAATATACATTTCAAACACATTGTATATAAAGATTTTCTACATGGAATGATCTTGTTATTTCCATATTTTCTGCCTGTGAGCCTTACAGCCATAGGAAGTAAACTGAGATGAACTTTTAATCTTTTCTATTCCTGGTCCAGCTACTATCTGTAAAACCATTAAAGGACATGTACTATAATATAAGTGATCAGTTTATACCTGAAACAAGTCTTTTCTATATTTTTCCTATAGATATGGTGAGTCTAAGGGACAATTTGCCTGTAGTTGGTATGTCTTCCCCCCCCCCACAATTTCACATGGAGATTTATTTGAAATACTTGGAAGGAAGGAAGGAAGGAAAGAAGGAAAGAAGGAAGGCTTCACTTAGAATCTTTAAAATGTATCTACAGTCATGCTTTTGGTCAACAATGGACCACATATACCATGGTGGTCCAATAAGATTATAATGGAGCAGAAAAATTCCTAATGCCTAGTGACATAGTAGCTGTCATGATGTTATAGGACAACAGGATCCTCATGTATTTGTGGTGATGCTGGTGTAAACAAACCTACTATGCTGCCAGTTGTAAAAAAAAAATATAGCACATATAAGTACAGTAGTAGGCTATACCATCTAGATTTGTGTAAGAACACTATGATGTTCACTATCCAAATTTTTTTCTCAATCTATATTTTAATTGTTTATCACTTGTCAAGTGATCAGTAAAGGTACAGAAGTATTTAATAACTAAAGCACTCAGCTCTATAAACAATAAGGAAAGCACTTACTATACTTGCTTCTGGCTAAGAGAACTACATTGGCCTTATCAAAACCTTACATACATACATGCACACACACAAAGAAGTGTTTACTCTCATAAACATTCTCTGATTTTCTGTTTCTTTTAGGACAGCATTGCTTGGATCCAGATGCTTACATTTTGGATGTATATCGTGTCAATCCTCAAGCAGAATGGGTGATCAAACCCCAACCAAGTTTTTGAAATACGCCCAAGATGGCAGCTGTTATGAATTATATGCCAAGAAAATTCTAAAGTAGGATTAAAAAAAGACTGCTTTTGACATATTTGTCTCTATAACCCTCTTGGTGTTTCTCAGCCTAAGTGGTGTCTCTAGGCATTGTCAACATGATGGTGGAAGAAGAAATGGTTAACCATTGGAGCTAAAGCTTTCCCATGATGGTTCCTCTATATGAGTGAAGAAAAGATTTTGTGATCCTTCCTGAAGACCAATCTAGAATAGGAACTCTAATCATTTCTAGTACTTTGACTTCACAGCAGAAATGAACTTGGTCCTATACATAGGGATAAGAAACACTTCTTTATGTAGCAAATGCTACCACCAAACACAAAGAGATGGAAAGAGACGTTTTTATACTTGTTATATACACATATTGACCTTTTTGAGCAAGAATGCCAGAAACATCGGTAACTTCCACTTTGCAAAATAATTCAAATCTACTTTCCAAAGGGAATCAGTTTCTAAAGTTACACCTACAATATTTATGCTCTGACTTACTCCTGAATTGGAGGAGGAGGAACTTCTGTTTAAAGACACTGTATTGTTATGCATATTGTACTGTATCATGTCAATTAGCATTCTGGTGCAAATGAACATTTCTCTTTCATGGACTGTTGAAAACTGATATTTTTAAAGCTTGTTTTCTTATGAGTACAGGGCCTCCTAGGCCAGCTTAGTTTGACAAAGGGTATTCTTATGTTTTCATAGCCTGTGGTCAGAAGTACAGAGCCTCTATTTTTCTCATCATGATTATGGTGCTCAGTGAATAGCTTTCCATGTGCCAGGCATTGATTTCCTTTTCTGGTCAAACATATCATTTTTTGTATTTTACAACTGTAGGCAGACACTTCTACAGCCCTACTTTGAAAATACACATGCCCTTATCCAAGAGAGCTCAAAAATACTGTTATAGTCAGATTTCATATTCTGTAAAAGCAGGCTTTGTTTCTGTTCATCAATAGTCACAGCTAAGTGCCGTGGATTAGCATCAAGCTTTAAAATCAGATGCATATTTTGTAAGTGGAAAACTATGTCACTATCAAGATCCTGTGGAGCCATGTTCCAGACCTGCAGGAATACACAGTCCCCCATGATTCTAACTGAGAGCAAATCTAAAATATGCTAAGGGGTCAGATAGCTCTGCCTTTCATCTTGAGAATGCAGATATAGTCATGTTAGGGTTAGCTAGAAATAGAACAGTGGTCTCATTTGTCTCACGCACTTTGGATTAGAATCCACAGATTGGTATTTTGATGACTTTAGATCAGTTTTAATGAGATTTAACACGCAAATGACTCTTGCAGTTCAAAGGAGAGACAAAGGTGCTCACAACTGCAATTACCAAGTCAAAACATAATGTGATAATAATTTAAGCCCATATATAGAAGAACAGTTTTATATACTGCATTTTGCCTTGATGTCTATAAAAACATTACTTATATTCAACATGTAGATAATTCTGTTTATGGTCATTAGGATTTTGTTACATTTTTTACAGAAGAATCAAATATCTATTCATTTTATTTGTTTATTTGAAAACTTTCATTTTCTTTTCCTGAAAACCCACTAGAAAATAAACATGTTCTGTAAGTTTATACTTAATATTTTATTAGTTTTCAATATATGGTTAATTGATGGCATGTGAGTTTACATAATGAACTTCAAGAATCTGAAAAAATGCTTTTATCATTTTTGCAATTCAAAAAATGGGAGTAAACATTTCACTTCATGGACATAAGATGGCAGTAATGTATGCCTACACATAAAAGAAATTCTTTAAATTAGCTTCCTTAAACATCTATGAATATATTAAAACAATGATTGATTTATCTCATTGTATTTATTATCATTTAGAAAAAAATTCTGTTGTGTTTATATGAAAAATTCATAAATATATTCATTTTTTATTCAGGGATTTTGACTGAAAACACATTAGAACCTATACAAGAGTTCTAAAGATTTCAAGATTTACTTCACTTGCCATCAGTTCTAAATAAATGGCTAACAGATGACAGGTAAAAGCAATAAGTTTCTGAATTTCTTAGCCATTTCTCTGTGCTTTCAGATATCAAGGACTTAGCTGAGTCAATGACTTTAAATTACTTACTTTATTGTATTCAAGGATGTGTGACAACTTTCAAATAAATATATAATATGGAAGGCCATGTCAATACCAATATCATTACCCAATGATAACCATTATTCTGAGTCTTAGAGCTAACTAACTGATTAAAGAAGAATTTTCACTAGACACACAGACTAATTTTTATGTGAGTAAAGAGGTTCTTTTTACTTAAGAAATAATCCCCTACATTTAAACTTCAAAAATGACTGCCACCTAAGTATTGAAAAACTATCTTTGCCTTATTAAAAGTTGTTTTAAAATAGTTATGGTAATCTGTAAAATTGTATAGTATATTTGCAAATAAAAGCAGAATCAGATACTAGGCTTCTAAGTTCTATTTTTAATAGCTTCCCACCCCACCTCATCCCAAGTGCCCTTGGTGTACAGTTAGGAAAATAATATCCAGGAAAGTATTAAAGAAAATTAACCTATTAGGAACACTTATTCATAAAAAAGAAGAAACCCTAGAACTGGCTTATTTTTTCCTCTTTTCTTCAAAAAGGAATCCCTTTGTTAAGCAGCTCACTTGGGAATATAATTCTTGGAGTGAATGATCTTCAAACAAACTGGAGTGTTAATTTCTTTATAATATATACACAATATAAACTACCTCACTTGCCTTTCTTGGGAAAAAGTTGATGGACTTTAACAATTTTTGTTACAAACTGTCCCTGAGTCTTATTAGTTGTCACTTCAGTTAGCTTTCAGTGTACATGTAATAATAATGTAAAATATTTTTAGCAAAAGCTTTAAAACCAAAAACACTCTGTAACTGTGACCTGTGGTATACTCAGATTCCGTGTCCTTTCGTCACTGTCTTGTGTGTTGAACCACATTGAGATGCAGGTTTTCAAGTGTAAAAATTAAATTCATCTCTTCTTATAGGAATTTTTCAACTGCTTTTTCCTCTATTGCACTTGACTGAAAAGTAGGATGAGATGAACATGACCCTTCTTTCTATCATGCATATTTCAACTGTTGTTCACAAATGTATTACATGCTTGAAAAGAATATATATTATGGGATTGAATAGTTCCTAGTTTCTGACTGGCATTTTCAACACTTTTCCATAAATACGTCACTTAATAAAAATTATATGACATGGATTAGAATGTTTCTTTTAAGCATTTTCAACAGTTTTATATACACATCTTAATTTAAAAATAATAAGCTTTCTTTCAGGCATTTTCCAACTATTTTCTTCTGAAACTGATTTGACTGAAAAATCATATAATGTCATGAGGGATGTCAATGTTTTATGTTGGTTCCCATTATAAAAGTTAGTAATGATTCTTCTTTTTAACTTTATTTTTATTGTCGATACTATTACAGATGTCCCTATTTCCCCCCACTTTTACCCACCTCCACCCAGCCCCAACCCTGCCTTCCCCCTGACCATCACTGCACCATTGTCTTTATCTATGTGTCATGCATATATGTTCTTTGGCCAATCCCATCATCTTTCATGTTAAGTATAATATGGATGTTGCATTTTATTCATAAAAATAAACAAACTGAAAACATTGTCTTGAGAATTCTTATATTTAACTATTCTTAAGTCCACCATGGTGCTAATGAAAGAACAAGAGCTTAAGAATTGGAAGGTTTGTGTCTGACACATGTAAGTCTTTGTCACTTACTAGCCAGGTGGTGGTCTTGTGCAGGAGTCACGTAGCACTATGGACATGGTAAATGGTTGTGGGCACAGGATTGACTGAGTAAGCAAACACTGTTTCCTAAATTTGTGTCAGTGCTTTGTCTGAACAAGTTTTTAATAGGTGCTTTAATATTGTTTTCAATAGATACAGAAAAGACATTTGACAAAATTCAGTAACTACTTATGAGTTCTTTAGAAAATTCAACATTTAACCATATATCTCTGCAAAAGGCAAGAAAAAGAAAGATTTTAAAAAATGGCCTGTTTGCAAATGATATTATTATTGATATAGAAAAGCCTGAGGTGTCTTCAACTATTAAATAATATAATTTGCAAGGTCATGGCAAATAAGATTATTAATATATAACAATAAATTATATTTTTATTAGCATCAAAGAATTGGAAAATAAAATTTTAACCTCCATTTACTACAGCATCAAGAAACAACATATTTGAATATATTGAAAAAATGTATGCAAAACATGCTAAAAACTACAAAATATTTTGGTAGTAATTAAAGGATAGCTAAATAAGTGTGTGTGTGTGTGTGTGTGTGTGTGTGTGTACACACACACCATATTTTTAGGTAACAAGAGATGGATGGAAGAGAATTGGCAAGATGTCAGTTCTCCAGAAATCTATAGATTCAATGTAGTCCCAATCAGAATACCAGTAGGTTTTTAGGTAGAAATTGACAAACTAATTATATAAAGAAACTTGAATACCTAAAATTATAAGAAAAAGTTGATTTAGAATTAGTTTCGAGACTTAGTATAAACTTATAGCTCTTAAGAGTATGTTACAAAATAAAGATCAATACCTATATCAGTAAAACTAAATAGAGCACAGAACAAAACAGAGCCAGCCCATTTATGTGGTCATTTGATTTTCAGCACAGGTGCCAAAGCAACCCTATGGGGAAACAGACTTTCAACAGATGGTACAAGAACAGTTGTATATCTGCTGGGAACCATCTCACCTGGCTTCAGAGACTGTAGCCTTGCCGACAGGCAAGAGGGCCCCAAGGCTGGAGCTGAGCAAGGAGGCCTTGGGAAAATACTCCACTAAAGAGACAAAACCTGTCCCCCTGGCAGGGATGCAGCCCCTGCCTCCTTCACATCACCCTGCTTGGCCCCAGAGGATGGCTGGTTAGTCAATGATAGGTAAGACCTTTTGATGCCAGGGGCAACCTAAGACAGG